AAAGAGCCCGCAACGATCGCCATTCACATTCCGTTTTACCATTAACAATATTACATTTCCATTCGGATCCAGTATCAGCAACAGACAGTTACTTTCTCATATTAGATTCGTATAAATTAGAAACTTTCTAAAGGCGGCACACACGTACGTACGTACGCGCACTCGAAGTCCTTGTTTCAAGAGCTCTATCGGCATCGGTGTGCCCGCAATAAGAATCTCGCAGGAATTTCGTTACTTTTACGAAGCGAGCTGTTCGACCGTGAATCGAATTCACGTTGCAACACGATGATTTTCCTTTCCCCTGAATCACGCCGCGTCGCTCTCCGGCGTTCCGTTCTCGAATTCAGGGAACTTGAACCTTGAGTACGCTGGATGACGAGAGTCATTACGTTGCCAGGTTTTTTCTGTCCCGCCGAGAGATGGCGATAATGCCCGAGATAATCCGAGTGGACAGAGGCCAAACCGTGGGGTATTGCATCATTGTGGCTAGTTGTTCTTTTTAATTAGTTTACTGTGGTTGACGAGTGTACTCGTTATGGAGACGTTGCGGGATTTTGTGTCATGACGAGTATACTCGTCATGACACAGAATCTTGCAACTTCTCCACGACGAGTATACTCGTCGTGACACAAGATCGTGCAACGTCTCCATGACGAGTACACTCGTCATGGTAGAAAGTAGTGACCGTTGACTTTTTAACCAGTTAATTGTGGTTGACGAGTATACTCGTCGTGACACCAGATCAATTAAATGATGACAAGGCTTTTGGGAATAAGATATTAATACGTTTGAAAATTATTGTTGGAATATATGTACAAATGGAATTTAATATTAAGACTACCATGGGTCAAATTTGACCCGTTTTGGACTCATTGTTCATCATCAAATTGGGCTTGCAATGGGAAAATGTTATTTTGGAAAATAAGATATTAATCCATTAAATCCCTTGAAGATTTTTTTTTATTTTTAGATGAAATTTTGTATTTCGAGTAATTATTTATTAATTTCAAGTGTCCATACTATCTTGGAAAAATAGTGAAAATAATCTGACATATTCGATGTACTATATATATCATGATCTATAGATCACTGGGAACATACGGTAACAACAATGCAACATACTGCAACAATTTAGAGTGAGTGATCTATTGATAGATCACTAGGACTCAATGGGTGAAGCTACTTTCAAAATAAACTGATCATAGGTCAAGAGGTCAACCGGAGTGTTTTTCCTAGGAGGCGTCGATTGGCAATGTTGAATTGCAATTAACCACCGTTCACCGTTCAGACGGCGAACTTTACATTGAATAGTTTCTAGCATTGCACAGATTCTATTGTCTTTCGATGTGTAGGAACAACAGTTAATGATTTTGCAACATGGCTCGCGTGATTGCCGGTTCATTTTACATTTTAAACAAGTGGCCGCTTCTGTTGCAACTGCCGTCGCGTTTACTTGATCCGTGATGCAAGTGATATTACGCGACACATTCCAACGCGACTCGTAGTGACATAATAAAATGTACCGAATCATGCTCGCTCGTTCCAACTAGTGTCTTTCAGTTTCCTTTAACCCTTTGCACTCGAGAATATTTTCCTCGAGAAATATTCGTTATTTTCTGACGAAATATTAACAGTATTACTTATTATTAACAATATGATATTTATAATTATAAACATTCATTATTTTATGGCAAAATATAATATTATATTGTAATATATGATAATATGATATTGTAAAATATTATAATATCATATTGTAAAAGGATATTGTAAAATATCATAATATCATGGTGTAAAATATGATAGTATCATATTGTAATGTATGATAGTATCATATTGTAATGTATGATAGTATCATATTGTAATATATGATAATATGATATTGTAATGCATGATAGTATCATATTGTAATGTACGATAGTATCATATTGTAATGTATGATAATATGATATTGTAATATATAATATGATATAGTAATATATGATAATATCATATCAGTATATAAATCGGTAAACTAGTTCGATTCCCACCGTGTTTGGACTCATTTTAATCCGGGCAATCTCAGCAATCCATCGATACTACATTTGAGTAGGTAACGTTAAAATTACTTCAATTACAGTAATTGTAGGAACTGTAGGGCTGATGTCGTAGACTTCAGCCGAACAGATAGAAGAAAAAAATCTGTTAACTAACTGCATACAATTCCTCTCTTTTTCAGTACCTAATATGAGGTCAGTCTATATCACTATACATAGAAAAACTCAAATATCATATTGTCATGCAATATACTTTGAATAGTCAATCAGTTCAGAGGAGGTAAGGTTAAACATGCAACGAAGAAAATTTCAATTGCACTAATTTTCAGCTTACCTTCTCAAATACAGTGCCATTGAATTCCTGAGGTTATCCCGATTAAAATGAGTCCAAACACGACGTAAACCGGACTAGTTTTACCGACTGAATGCAATTAACGAAACTAAAGGCTCGTTTCAATGAAATCGTAAAACTACTCCGATTCACGTCGTGTTTGTACTCATTTTAATGAGAAAAATCTCAGCAATCCATCGGTACTACATTCGAGAAGGGAAGGGTGAAAATGCAACGAAGAAAATTTCTATTGCAGTAATTTTCACTTTACTTTCGCAAATGTAGTGTCAATGGGTTGTTGGGATTGTGCTGATTAAAACGAGCCCAAACACGACATAAATCGGACTACTTTTACCGACTGAATGCAATTAACGAAACTGAAGGCACGTTTCCATGAAACCATAAACCTACTCCGATTCACGTCGTGTTTGTACTCATTTTAATCGGAAAAATCTCAGCAATCCATCGGTACTACATTCGAGAAGGGAAGGGTGAACATGCAACGAAAAAAATTTCAATTGCACTAATTTGAAGATAGACACGCACGCCATAGAAACGAAACAATTACCGGAACCCATCAATCTGGTTTCCCCCGGGTCGAAGGTAAGGGGTTCAAGCCGAGAAAAAAGAAGTCCGGTTAAATGATGCGCGCCTGATGCACGCGATCCTTTGATCCGCGGCACATCGATCAGTCGGAGACTCGGTTTTTCAGTATCGCCGCGAATCGGGCCGCGGCTAATCGCGCCGGTCGCTTGACCACTTGGGAATCACGGGGCTGTTCGAGGTGAGAGGAACGGGCGAAGGTCACGCGAAAAATAAAACTCGATTTCAAGTGAACGCGTGAATTTTAATAGTAAAAATCAATTTGAAATCAATGCATGATTTTGATGGTAAAGCAATTAATTTTAGTTTTTAATAGGAAAAGCATTAAAAATTAATTTGAATACTAACAACAGGTTTTATATTTACATTATTATATTATTTAATTATTTAATCATTTATATTAATTAGAAAAATAAAGGTTTAATATTTACATTATCATACTATTTAATTACTTTTACTTATTTAATAATTTACATTATTGTACCATTCAACTACTTCTAATTACTTAATAATTTACACAATTTAAAGAAAAAAACAATTTAATACTCGTCACAAATTCTTCATTTACATTATTTGGAAAAATAAAGGTTTTATATTTATATTGTTATATTATTTTTAATTATTTAGAAAAATACAGATTTTATATTTATATTATTATATTATTTAATCATTTATATTATTTAGAAAAATAAAGGTTCAATGATTCACATTACAATACTACTCAACAACGTCCAATTACCCAACAATCCACACAATTCAAAAAACCAATTTACCACCCGTCATAAACTCCCCGAGGAGGTTAACTCTTACTTTCACCGTGCATCACCCAGTCCCGCGAGTGCTTCAGGAACTAAAATAGAGAGAGTCACCCGCGGGAATCCACGCATATCTAAAACGGTCGGTAATGCGTCGTAAATAATCGGTGGAAAAACGTCCTCTCTCCCATCGGCGCCGGGACGTCTCAATCGTCCGAGTAACTCGCGGCGGCCAGCACCAAAACAGTGAGCGAGGATAAAGCGGAACAACGCTACCAGGGCTAATGCATGAAATTTAAAGGAACGTTATCATTACGGGTCCGCGGTCGGCAATCGAACGCCAGCTGGGAGATAAGCGAGGTGGAACGGGCGGCTACTGGGCAGGGGTGGGTGCACGTGGCGTAGTGAATCATGGAAGATGGCGTCTCGCGTCCTTGCTTCTACTTATGTTTTAGGTTAACGTTTGGAAAGGGGTGATTTGACAGGTTCGGTGGAAATAGTGTTGAGGAATAATTAAAACGCTGTGTTCAATAGTTTGTTATTTTTATTATTTATTATTTTTGTTATTTGTTACTTATTATTTATTTATGAAGAAATGTGTGTGAGGAATCTTGCAATTTGCCCAAAAGTCCTTAAAGTCTTTATTGTAAAAGGAAAGATTTGAAGACAACCTGGCAAGTCAGCAGTTTATTATTTTTCTTATTTGTTGTTTATTATTTATTTATAAACAAATATGTATGAAGAATCTTGCAATATATTCAAAAATTCTTAAAGTCTTTATTGTCCAAGAAAAGCTCTAAAGACGATGTAGCCAATCAAAAGTTTGTTATTGTAATTTATTATTTATTTTTGAAGAAATATGTGTGAAGAATAGATTGTGTTGATTTTTTACAGTATCCTCCCCTGCAATGTGTCCTTTACATGTCATAATAACAAAATGTGCTCAAAATCTTTATTCTGCGAGAGAAGCTCTAAAAAACTAAAATTGTGCAAAATTAAATATAAGAAAACGTTAAAACTAGTACAAAATTAAGTTTTTGTTATACTTGATTTTGTACTATTTTTAAGGTTTTGTTATATTTAATTTTGTATTTTTTTCGCTTTTTGTTATATTTAATTCTGTACTATTTTTCACTTTTCGTTATATTCAATTTTATACTATTTTTTACTTTGAATATTGTAAAAAGTGAAAGATAGAATAAAACTGAATATTGTAAAAAGTGAAAAATAGAATAAAATTAAATATAACAAAAAGTGAAAAAAGAAAATTAAATTGTAAAAAGTGAAAAATAGAATAAAATTGAACATTGTACAATTTTATACTATGTGTCACTTTTTATTATATGTAATTTTCTACTATTTCTAACTTCTCATCATACCTAACATTTTACCACATTTAACTGTTTAATTAACTATACACTGCATTATACTGCTACGATGCTCTGTCACTTCATTCACAAGTTGCCTACTTATAAGTGGCAGCATTCATTATGGCCATGTGAACATCATCCTACGACAGTCACAGAGTCAATAACCGTCCAGACATCGTGTCACATTATAATAATTGGTGTGCTAACATGGACAGCCGCATACGTGCTGCCGTTGATATGAATATTAATCCAATTTGCAAGTACCGCTCCATAATTAGAAACAAATTAACTCATCGCAATTCATGTTGCATACAGGATCAAATATATGTTAGTGCATAACCTAATAATATAATAACCGCAATAAAAATAATAATATTCAATACCCCATACAAATAATTACATAAAAATAATAATAATTAATGCTAACCTTCTTGTTTCTCAACGTTCGATAGGAGATTCCTGAAAATTTGCATACTTCAATGAAGAATTTATCTATTTTCTGCAATATCCTTTGTTACGAAATATCCAAGTTTCAAACACTGAAAATTATTTATGTGTTACTTATAAAGTCTATATAGAAGTCTTTTATGGGAAACAATTTTATAGACTCGCTTAAATGAAATTATACCACTTTTATAAGGTTATAATGATTTGAACATGTTAAATCAAGTGAGATGCTGTTTTCACTTCAATTAGACGACTAATGATCAAATATAAAATCTCAAGCTGCGCCATACGAATAGAAGTAGACCATCTTCATGAGGAAATCGCTGAAGAAAGTTATAATAATCATGTTTTTTCTATCGAGGACATAAAATACTTTCGCCAACAGCTAAATACCTTTTTTTTTGAAAGTAACATTTGTAACTTTTTCGCAGGACCTTAATTTGTAAAGTGAACTGGAAAACATCTGAAGGAAATGGCGCATGAATATTATAAAAGTGAAAGTGTATATTTATATTATCTTAATGAGATACCTGTTTGTACATTCAAATTATATTTAGATATTATAGATACAGATATTTATCTGTTTCATTACTCTAAAACAAATGAACTAATAAACAAGGTAATGGAGAAGCATCTTGAAAACTTAATTTTACCAGAAGTTGATAATCTGATTTGAAAATGTATAAAACCATGAATATAGAAATTTGTAGATCTAATTTAATTTAAAATCAAATTCTCTTTTAGAAACTTGTCTATTTTATTAGTTTTATAATATTAATATTAGTAATACTATTTATATATGTATAATACTATTCTAACTTAAAACGTGAACTTAATATTAGTTTATGTTTTTCAAAAATTCAGTTTTGTTTCTTTAATTTAACTGTTATTTACAGTTTGCTATTTATTATTC